GTAGGTGAAAGAAGCTTCCTGACTCCCACTTCAATGTGATGTGGACAAGGCATTTATGACCAGCTGGAAAAATAAACTTTAGGTGTTAGAGAGTAATAAACCTTTATAAGTAGATAAGATCAAGGGAAAGAGCCCCAGTTTGTATCCTGCATTGCAACCTTTACAAATGGTGTAAGTAATTCTAAGTGGGGCTCTAAATTGTTAACACCTGTGGAGAGGGGTGGAGGCCAATCTGGGGAAGGTATTTCAGATTAGCTCTGGAGGAGTGAAAAGGAGGATGGGGGAAGTGTTGGTGAAGTGAACATCTACCTTGAGTTGCTGCTGGTTTGCCTTGAACAGGTCGCCTGAGAAAGCTGCGGTCTCAAGCCTTTCCTCAGCCATGTGAAGGGAAGTTTCTTTGTCCACTCCTCTTGCCACCAAAGCACATTTACATAAGGCTACTTAGGTGAAGAGGGTTCATAACCCTGCTTTTACTTCTATATGTTGACTGTCTGCTCCTATGGAGTAAATTTTAATTTGCAGCTTGCTTTACCATAATCCTTTTGAGCATTAAGTAAAGCCTTGGTCGAAAAATTTTCTACTTGCTTCCTGAGTTATTCTGTCATCACAATCGCACACAACCAGAAGTGAAAGAACCCAGAGAGAGAGAAAGAACTAAGGATATGTCACCCCTGTGGGTCTCTGTCACAGTCCTATTAAGTTCAGTAGAACTTACTTCCAGGAGAATGCTACATTGGAGTTCTAATGATATCACCCTACCCAGTATTGTGAACTGCAGGTCTGCTTTTTCAGAACTTGCTCTGGAAGATAAAAGGATACAATTTAAATAGCCCTTATCTTTCTAAAATGTGATATTTACATGTCTCATGGCATTGATCTAAGTTTGGTACAGCTTTTATTCATTATAGTATTCAATATTATTTATATTAACTTGATTTGTAATCCATTCAGAATTGGCCTGTATTTGATGTACATATGTTCCCAGTGACATATATGAATAGATCTGTGTTAGGAGCCTTCCTCAGTTGCACTTGAACATGGCACAAAAATGCGCTGGCAATATCTTTTTTCCCATCTCTCCACGAGAGTGCCTTCATCTCTTTCCAGTACACGAATAGAAAGGCTTAAGTCATTCTTAGCTGTGCTGGTATTTGTGTTTTACCCCTGAAGCTGACAGTGTCTAATGACATTTGCAAGGTAAATAAAATCGGTTATGCTTTGTTATCAGTAACTTAGGAGGGAAGTCCAGTGACAGAAAGGATTGGGAAGAGTCAAGATAGGGATCAGCAATGAGGAGAGCAAATTTCATGGTGGCATAATTTATAGAGGGGGAAGATTCTTAGTTTGGTCTGAAAAGGGGGAAATGAAAATCCAACTTTCTCATTACAAATGTAAATGCCATCATCTTTAAATTTCCAGAAGAATGACTATAAATGTATAGGATTTAGAAAAAAATAGCTCTAACAAATGTGTCATTTGCAGATAATACTCCTAGTGTTACTTGTTACTCTATGGATAGAAGAGTCTAAAATGGGATCTGATACTTTGTGGTTCAGAAGTTTGTGAGAGCCCAGCCCTTATCTCCTCATTCTGTATAAACAATGTCATCAGGTTAAGCCACAATATGTTTTATTTGTTATATGCAAAGTTGTTTTTGTTAACCTGTACCTAACTTTTTCCGTTAAAAGATTATCGCTGGGTAAGAATGATAGAAGTATTAGTGGAACAGATGGGACAATTACAAATGGAGATCATCATTATCTGGAACCCTTAAAAAAATTAAATTAACAAGACAGGGGAATTCTTCAATATGAAGTCTGAAAGAATTTAACTGCAAGGTAGCTATTTTCTATTCTTCAGATTTGTGAAAGAAATGAAAATAGAATAATGTAGTGTCAGGCTGAAACTCTGACTGGTAAACCCACTCCTGTTACAATATCAAATCTTTTTACCTTACCAACTGTGCAAATTACACGCTGCCTTTGTAATTTTTAAATGGCTGGCATTTTGTGCCCAGAGTTGAAGCTCTTAGGATTTTTTGGGTTTTTAATCTTCTATACTTTCCCAACCTGCAAGGATAATTCAATTGCCAAAAATAAACAGAACCTCAAACCCCTCTTTCGAGAAGGGTGTTTCAATTCAGTTCTGTAATTTAATGGAGGTCAAGTTATAAAGTTAGGGCAACTTGAACTGCAGAAGAGTGGCCTGGCCTGCATAATAATCCATTTGCTAAGGCAAAGCACAGATCCCTTTTCATTATCCTCCAAGAAAAAGAGTCTCTGTTTCTTGTAATTTTTCAACAGATTATCAAACAGGTCTTAAAGCATCAAAATGTTCTGTTATTGGCCATTTGCTCATTGTCCTCCCCCAAAGCAATGTATTTCCCCAAAAGAGAATACCCACTTGCACAAAACAGTCTTTCTCAACTTTTGACCCTTGAAAGGTTGGGACTGCAATTCCCAGAGTTCCTACCGCTATAGCAATGCTTTGGAATTCTGGGAATGGAAATCCCAATGCATCTGAATGTGCCATGTTGGGGAACGGTTGTACTAAAACCAACAAATGATAGCTTATCCTCCCAAATTTGCAAACAACATAGTCCAGACAAGGAAATGCCATACTATGATTCCCTGCACAAAAATGACAAGTGGAACAAACTCCTTAAAAATATATATTTCCTCTGAGAAGAATTATGGATGAGTTGCAATTTTGCATCAAACAAGCATTTTTTTAAAAAAAAGGACTATAGTTTTATCCTTTGACATGCCAGAATCACATCCAAATACATAGGACATACAGACCAGTATAATTTGACTCTACATCTAACCTGAAATTTAATGTTTTTTCTTAGTGCCTGAGCCATTAAACTAGGTGTAGGAAAGTATTTGGGAGAGGACACCAGGTTGCTTACTGTTGTGGGAAAAACACCCACTTAAATAAGGAACCAAAGTGTTTGGCGATAGATGAGACAAAATATCCTTTATTGGCATGGACAACTGCAGTGATCATTGGGCTCCTTGCCAAAAGAATCCAAAAGAGCCCTGAACTAAGCAAGGTTACAGGTTATATACCCCCAGAAATGATATACAGGAATGATAAAGAAAGCA